GCATGAATTTGCTTCTCAGCATGCAATGGCATTTCATAAAGATACATCTGAAATATAGTAGAGCTTTTTTATCCTAGCACATCTGTGCTATTTGCAGTGTGTGCAACATGAAGGCACCCTCTAACAAAATGACACAGAATGGAATGGATTAACATGTTGAACTAAAATAGAAAACAGTTGTTCTGCTTGAACATGCCTATAATTTCAGAGGCTTGGGGCAGGACTGAGCTGAAACAAACAAACAAACAAAAAAAAAAGGCCATACAAAATTCACATTAACCGTTCGAATGCTTTCTCCACAAACACTTTTAGTGCTTTGAGTTCCTTTAATTGGTTTTCTAGAAAGATGTTAAAATTAACTTTTCAAATAATTGTATTGTTCAGTTCATAGAAGAAAAGCCAAAGTGAAGGATTGTTTATTTAACCTACAAATATAAATACATTTTGGTAAGAGCAGTCAGGAAATGGATTAACAAATGGTGTGCTGAAACACAATCAGAAGCGTTTAGGCTACTGCAACTTGGCAAGTTACCACACATCAGCTGAGATGTGACGATTGACCACTGCAAGCTTCCAGCCTGTGCCAATTGCAACGTAAGATAGATACAGTTATTCCAACATTGGGTTTAGTTTCTTTCAGTTGGAGAGGGTCAGAGCACATTCATCCACAGATGTTATCATGCTTTTTGACTGAGTCTTAACTCAGAGAACCTGATCTAAATATAGCATGAAGCTATCTACCTTATTAATATAATCGGATTGATTTACTAGGGAATTCAGAGTCACAATACATTCCAAATAATCACATTAGATCAGATCTTGAAATGTGTGGATCACCTTCAGTTTCCTTTATTCACATTTACAAAATGATCACACCTCTGAATCATATGATCTCTGTGATTCATTTTTCCTACAACACAACTTAATTGCATGTAAGACCACTAGTAAGAGAGCGATCTCCTACAGTGATCCAGACCGTGTATATTTTAGACAATCAAGTGTAAAATTCCAACTGAAACCAGTTCAGTTGTTTGCCTTATAACTTGAATCTAGAAATTCATTGTTCTGGGGTTTTGTGCCAATTTTGTCTCTAACATAATGCTAGCTTTTCCCTACATATCAGTTTTTTACCTTCTGGTTAAAGGCTCAAGCATTTTTCAGATTTTTTTTAAACTGGACAAGACAGATCCCTCCTGCAAAACAGATCCTCCATTCCCTTGTCCTCATAAATCATACCTACAGATCTTACAAGGTCTTTTTCATTTTTAACTTGGACACTTAGAATTGTACATGAGTCTGATAACCAGTGTCTTTCACTGTGGCATTAACACTCCCATCCTTACCAGAAATATCTTACCCCAAGAACTCTTGCATCATACTGATCCTTTTCAAAAATATTAGACATTTTTAGGCCATGCTGATTCTGTGATTGAGTAATTCAACTAAAGCACTACAGTGACACAAACACTAATGCTAATTAATTCAGTCTGGAAATTAGATGATTTCTAATCATCTAGATAAAACTTTCCAGATAGAACAGAGTGGGAGGGAACAACCTGATTATTATTTGTACATAATGTGGTCATCTGTGATATGACAAAAGGCAAACCATTGATCCAAAGCCCTATTTTCATTCGGGGTTAAAAGCAGCCCAAGGAAGATGGGCGAGAAAGAGAAACTGCAGTTGGAAGCCTGATCCCTCATAAAGTGATGGAAACTACATGGTTCAAAGTGGCAATTTAAGAGGTCAAGAGGTGACAGAGAGGCAGGCAGGCTTGAATCCTGTCTCCTTTATTCCCATTAAAATTCTGCTTCCTGCTTGTGAAATAAAGAATGCTACACTTGTATGAAGCACTCTTCCATTTGATGGCAATGGACTTCCATCACCTTATACTTGAACCCACACTGTACCCTGAACTGGCACCTCCTCTGATGCCTCAGTGCCTGTCAAGAACATGCAAAGCCTCAGATCATTGCTGCTCTAGGATGTGATCCATGACACCTCAACTGCAACATGAGCCTCATACAGAGGAAGCATCACAAAAAGCGATTTGAAAATATGTCACTGTGAAAAAAGTATTCTGGGGATAAAAATATCTGAGTTTCTTTTTATTTGCATGTCTCTTGATAATGCATTTTGAAATTATAGTTAAAATTAACATGTACTCCCCTTCTATCTTTAAATAAAATATTTTTATTTGTCTGGCCTTAATTGCTGCTTGAGTTTTTGCTTGGCATTGAATTTTGAGAATTTCTGTTGACTGATCCCTTAAAAGTTTCTCTGTTGCCTTTGATTGCATAACTGCTTTTTCATTTATGCAACAGCATATATTTTATATTGTTTGCAATATCTTACAAGTGTCTTTAGTTTACTACAAATAAAAACATTATCTATGACTTCAGTGTTTTGTTCCATGACAGCTCAGTATATCAGAGTAAAATATACTTGATGTTTGCAGTATCTCACTATGACATGCTATGCTATTACTGACAAATCAGTCTTCTATTTAGCATTAATCAAAACATTCAGTTGAATGGCAAAATACGCAGATTTACACTGGCTTTTATCCTTATCAATTTGTTCTATAAACACAGCATTACGTTTGATTTTTAATTGGGCATATGGCTGAAAACCCACAGAAATGTCTCCCACTCACCCTAAATATTCTGCATTATGTTTTTAGATCAGGTGAAACAAACAGTTACTCTAAATTCTGTATGTTTAACTATTCCTCAAAAAAGAACAAAGGGGATTTTGTCAAACAGTGTAGAAATTTGCTCGTTTAAATACTTCAGTACATTTAGTCTTCTAATCCAAATACAGAAAATAACCTTGCCAAACAAACACATAAATTGGACTTAGTATTCTAAAGGTGAGAAAATTTCATTAGCTCTCTATATACCCTAACAAAAGGAAAGGGCTTCTTAAAACAGCAAAAAAATCCCTAGCATATAATTTTCTGAATACACATCTGAAACACATGCACTCAGCGTATGAACAAGGAAGCTGCTGATGCATTTAGCATTCAGTGTTACTTGTGAGATTTCCCACGTGCATGTGCTGTTTCATGCCCTGCACATTGATAAGGTTTTACTCAGGGAATGCTTTATTACTGATAAAAATATTCACTGCAAAGGAAGAACCAAAGGAATACAAAATTTCTCCTATCTAGAGTTAGGTAAGTAATCACACTACTTAATTGAAAGTATGGTGTTTCATAACGAAACCAATTATGTAGAAAGGCTGCTTGAGGTTGAACCCAGCACCCTCCCATTAGCATACAGCACAGCCACTTTGCAACAGGACAGGAAAAGAGTATGCTGAAAAGCAAAACATCATGTTATTTATTGAATATTCATTTGTAATGAATATTATTGCTGTTCATTAAAGGGAGAACTGTGAAAATGAAAAAAGCCAGTGCTACCCGTGGCACACACAGCCAGGGTGAAAACTTCATCCTTCTAACATACATTCACTATCCACTTACCATTTTATAATCCTTGTGCTTTAACTTGCTAGCTCTCTGATAAAGCAAGAGCTTACTAGGCACTTGTTCCTTCATCTGAGTAATGCCTCTGAATCACCACATCAAAATTGGTCATGTTACTTAGATTTTGTATACCAGCACAATTAAAACCAAATGAGACATGAGGTAACCTTTTTGATCCTAAACTCAAATTAAGTACATTAATGAGCAAAACCAGATAGCTACATCTTTAAATTCACAAATTCAGCATTTGGTATGAAAAAATGGCCAGGAAGTGATGAAGATAATGTCATGACGCATGCAGAATTAAAGAACCATTTAATAAAATTCTAATTTATACTCCATTTTATCCAGTATACAAATTATTTTTGGACATGCTGTTGGACAAATATTTTCTCATTTCTACTTTTACATCATTTCTACTTTTTCATCATTACAGTGGCTGCACTGCTAACTCCTGCCTTTGCAGGTATCTTAACAAAATATCCCATATCAAAAACAGTCTGCACAGAGTCCAGTCTACCAAATAATCACACCTTTATGCTTTATTCTCCTGTTAATATCAGATCAATTCCAGATGAACATATGGCACTGCTCTGAGTGAACATATAATATGCATATCAAAATTCTTCTAATTAATTTTTTATGCCAAGTAAAAAGTTTTCTAATAAACCACACCTCTTAAGAACTTTGCTCTTCTCTATTTTGCATTACTCATTCTATGAATTTTCTATACACTGCTAAAAGTACTTTATGTTGTCAAACCCAGTTTACTTTGTGGGGTTTTTTGTTTGTTTGCCTATACTTATTTTTAATACTTCTGTATTTTTGACCATGGCTTTCTTCCTAATCTGTCTGAAGTTAGTTGTTAATTCTGATCCAGGTATCAGTGTTCTACCTTTCCTCAAGATCTGTTAGCTTAGTAAGGACACATTGCTTTTCCTTACTATGTGCAATTCTAAACTTAAGATTTCCAAGCTTTCACAAAAATAGTTCTTTACAAAATCTTATTTCCGTTGCCAGATGACAAGCTCGCCCTTCACTGCGCAATAGCGGTGCCTTTAAATGATGACACTATTTGCCTCATACCCTACTTCCAGACTAAATTTCACTTCAGTTTTCGGTAACACCGGCTTCTAGTGCTGTTCAGGTTCCCACCAACACGCTCTGTTTACGTTTCAGGCCAAGTTTCAGTCCCCTGACAGGGTGCCAGAGAAGCCGGCTGCCAAGGGCACACAGCACACAGGGTGAATGAAGCACGCTGCTCAGCCATCAGCTCCAGCACCCCGTCAGCCGTGATGGCACTGCTCAGGGCCTCACTAACAACTCGGTTTGCCTGCTCTGACGGCTACATCCACCGGGCCCCGCTGTGAGAGTCAGGCACGCCTGGGGAAACCGCTTTTTTATTTTTTGCTTTTTTGGTTTTTTTGCTTTTTGCTATTTTATCGTTGTTTGGGCTGCGGCCAGGCCAGGGGCGGCTCCCGGCCGATAGGTGTCGCTGCGGCAGTCTGCCGTGACGAGGCGTTTTGACCGCGCTGGCTTCCCGTAGCTCGGCCGGCGGGGTCTGACGTGTAGTGTCGAGGCGGCGATGGCGGCCGCCTGGGAGGAGATTCGGCGCCTGGCGGCCGATTTCCAGCGGGCGCAGTTTGCCGAGGTGGCCCACAGGTGAGCAGCGCGGTGCCGGTACCCGCTGCGGACCGCGGCCCCCGCCGCCTGCCGCTAAGGATCGCTGCCGGCGCTCCTTCCCCTCCCCTCCCCGCGCCGGCAGCTTCCCTTTCCTCGCCCGCCCTCACAGCCTCCTGCCCTCACACACAGCCGGGGCCGGGAGCTCAGCCAGGCAGTCCCAAAAGTCCCGAGGGCCCCCACAGAGTACGTGCAGGTCCAGGGTATGCAATTGCTGCTAAGTTCGGGCTGGTGAAGGCTGTCATGGTTCCAGTGCTTTGTTTCTTCCGTGTGTGTCGTTGGGCAGTAGAGGTTGTTGCCTACTGTTTTTATTAAAGAAAAATAAAATCATCCCAAGCAAGCAAAGCAAAATAAAAAAATACACAAGAGTGGTAGACACACATTCTGTAAGCACAGCCGCTCTTAAGTCCACAAGCAGGTGCATTCTTTCAGCAAAAAGGGGCTGACAGCTGTTAAGAGGAAGAGTAAAAGTTGTTTTAGAGATATGACGCACATAAATGAAGCCATATGGATGATTTGGGAGGTGATAAGCAGGATCTTGAACTCAGTTTTTTGTCTTTAAAAATACAACAGTAATCCTCATTGCACTTCCTGTGTTTAGTATTTCTGAAACATCAATTTAAAGATAATTTTAGCAAGCACTTACTTAGACTTGACTGATTTTATTTATGCTGTTGATAGATTATCAGAGCGGAACTGTATAGAAATTGTCACTAAACTGATTGCAGAGAAGCAGTTGGAAGTAGTGCACACACTTGATGGAAAAGAATATGTCACTCCAGCACAGATTAGTAAGGAGATCCGGGATGAGCTTCACGTATGTGGTGGTAAGTGTGACATTTGCTTTCTTCCTCTGGATTTGGAAGTTAGTTCTGAAGACTACAGAAAGACTTTGAAGGTTTTGTTCAGTAGCCCTAATCTTGCAAAAAAAAAACCCAAAAAACAAACTTTCTTCCTACTGCTTCATCTACGTATTAATTCACCTACTACTTTTTTATTGTCACTTCAGATCTGTGTTAAATGTTTAGGTAAGCATATCAAGATACTTTACTTAGTTCATTTGTTCATTTTCACGCATGCGAAGGTAGAAGTGGTCTAAGAACCCTTTTGAAGGAAGTTTGGCACTTTAGTATGGTTAACTAGCCTAGATATTTGGCCTTGACTCGGAATTTCAAAATCATTCTCTATTCATGTCCTTGATAATATTTTAAAGTTGTCACTGACATTATCTATTTTATGAGAATGATGAGCGGTCCGCTTTATAAGATCTCAGATATGTAAGGAAGCACATAGCCTCAGACAGCTTTTTGTCAATGGTTTTAATAAGACAGTGTACTGTACTTTTAATTATGTTTAAGGGTGAATTTCATGTTATGTGTTTAGAAAATTAATTTCCTTATTATGTTTATACAGATTAGTAGTATTCTTACGGTCACCACAAATATGCCTCAATACGTTAGGCCACTGTATCATATCAGTATGATAGCTTGAATTGAATTTAAAGTTGCTGGGGTTTGTTAGTAGCATCATGCAAGGGTAAAAAGTTTTGGTAATCGCTGTTTTGATACTCATGGACAAGTGGTCAAATCCAGATCAGCATCAAGGCAAAAACTAATTGGGAGGGAGTTTAAACAGTGATTTTTACTTCTGAAATTTCTGTATTGGATTGTCAGCAAGGCAGTAGGTAGAACAGTAGGGATATCTTGCTCTGACTGCCTGTGATTTGATAACATATAAATCTGAAGTTGATTTAATTGGTTTACAGAAAGGTAGTGAGGAAATGTTTTGTACACAATGGACTATGCTATATACTAAATCTGTTCAAGCATGTTTTATACACTAAAAGTGTATTTGTGCTTTTTTTTTGAAGGTCGAGTAAACATTGTTGACTTACAACAGGTAACTTTTTAGTAATAAAATACTACATACTTCTTTCTTTACTTCACCATGTATATTGTAAATGTGGAGTTCATCAGTTATATTCCAGCTAATTTACTTTTTTAAGAGAATGAACTTTATGAAAAGCTGATAGCTCATGTCAGAGTACAGCAGATTACTTAATCTGACAATTTACTGCTTTGTAGAAAGCTCCTGTGTGCTTAATGATAATCTAAGAACTCTGAAATCACCACTGAATTATACTGATTTTCTTTATGAACTCTTCCTTTGTAAACTAAGGATGACAAACAAAATAAATATGTTTTTCATTTAAATATAAAGCTGCAGGAGCATGCATGATTAACTTTTGCATGCCTCTTTGGATCTTCACTCTTCCTTTTTTATTCGCTTGTCTCCACTAATCTTTATACTTGAGTAGTCTTCCTCTGTGACTCATTTTCCCTTCTGGCTTGAGTAAAATCACTTGGAATCAGAAAACCATTCTGAAAGACAATTTAGTTTTTTCTGTTCGTAGCTTTCTGGATTTTTTTATTGTAGAGGTTTCTTTTGACCTTGTCACAGTTGCAAAGAAAGCATTGCTGCTTTATTCCAAATCACAGCTTAACTATGTATGTATGCAATAGCAGAAAAAATAAAAGCAGCTTTCCCCAAGACATAGGAATGTGTAAGTATGATATCTCAATGTTTGAGAATTAATTTAAAGTTCTGATAAGAGGTTTCATTGGCATTTTTCTGTAGGTACTAAATGTGGACCTTCTGCATATTGAAAACAGAGCTAATGACATCGTTAAATCTGAAAAAACTATTCAGCTTGTATTGGGACAGCTTATAAATGAGTGAGTACTTTCAGGAGCAATATGTATAATTCACATTCCTCTCATATTTTAGAATGCAGGCTAAAAGCATTGGCCAGCCTTTGTTGCTTTTGAAGCAAACTGCATTTTTCTTGCCTGCTGCTAAGGGTGCCTGGTGGTGATCAGTGCTTCTTGTGGAAATGGCAAGCAAGGCCTGTCTCAGAGCATCCAGTGAATCCATGGAGCAAAGGCCTTACTGAGGCCAGTATCCTGCACTTAGGAGGCTTCATTTCTTACTTAGTGTATTTGTGTACAGCAGCCATATCTCTCTTGCCTTTGCTGTTTGCCTCAGCTATTGACAAACAGTATAATTTTTTCCCATGTCTTGCTTTACCTCACAAGCTGAAGGTGTATGAGCAAGTTATTTCATGGCTTTCAGCACACTAACAGCTACTGAAGTAATACTCTTGTCTCTATTATTGATTGTGCTGCAGGATTTATTCTTGGCAAAGAATGTGAAGTTCCTGGCTCTCTTGATAAAAAGCTATCTTGCTTATTAAAGCCCTTTTCTAAGCTTCCTTGACATATTAATGTTTTCCTGTTCCCGCTAGTTGACAAATTCATCCAAGCAGATAAATGGCCAATTTTAATACTGGCTACTTGGTTAGCGGGCTTAAAGAAAACCAAAACCAAACAACCACATGTTCACTGACATTGTTCTCCTTTTTTAATTTAAACTAACTTTATTTTTGCAAAAATTCAGCAGAAAGAGCTATAGTCATAGAATCATAGAATGGTTTGGATTGGGAAGGACCTTAAAGATCATCTAGTTCCAGCCTTCCACTAGACCAAGTTGCTCAAAGCCCCATCCTGGCTGGCCTTGCACACTGCCAGGAATGGGCAGCCACAGCTTCTCTGGCCAGCCTGTTCCAGTGCATCACCACCTTCACAGTAAAGAACTTCTTCCTAATATCTAATCTAGATCTCCCCTATTTCAGTTTAAAGCCATTATCCCTTGTCCTGTCTCTACATGCCCTTGTAAAAAGTCTCACTCCAGATTTCTTGTAGGCCTCCTTTAGGTAGTGGAAGGCTGCTGTAAGGTCTCCCTTCTCCAGCCTTCTCTTCTCCAGGCTGAACAAGCCCACCTCTCTCAGCCTTACTCCATAGTCATCATAATGCCAGGTCAATTAGTAATTTAGCATATGTCTAGCAGGTTGATTTTGAAATTCACACTTTGTGGGTGGTTTTTTCTTGTTTTTAAATAAGGAGTTACCTGGATCAATTAGCAGAAGAAATAAATGATAAACTACAGGAAACTGGCCAGGTGACAGTGTCTGAACTCTGCAAGACATACGACCTTCCAGGAGACTTCCTGATACAGGTGATGCAAGCCACCAACCTAGCAAATATAGAATTTGTTATATTTATATTCTTTCGTTATCTTTGCAGTATTCATGGCTGTAATTATTATAAACTGTCATTCTAAGCAGAAAAGTATTAGGTATGTAGAAGGTACAGTGTAAAAACCATTCGCAGAATGAGGTTGATAGCCTTTTGACTACTGGGCAAAATTTCTTCAGAATCTTTATAACTGGTAGGAACAGACCAGAATTAGTAACATCAGGAACAGGTTAGATTAGTGTAAGATCTGAAAACTTATTTGTGTGAGATACTAAAGATATAGGGGTAATTTCATCAGTCTTATTAGTTACCCAGGAAGCAGAAATACAGTGGTAGAGACCTTTCAGTTTATTCAAAAAACATTCAGAGTAGAAACGAAAAACTTTTCTTTTGTTAGTGACTATTGTAGTGTTTCAGAGGATTAGGGAGAATTCTCTTACCATTATTGACTTTCAGTTAAGGTTAGATTTTGATTAGAAGATACTTTTTTCAAAGAGTAATCCCATGGCATGTGTTAGGTGAACAGTCATATTATGTACCACAGACAACCTTGTTGACTCTCAGTTTGTGAGCAGATTTCTTCTAATACTTTTTGTGTGATCAGCTTCTACAAAAACATTTGTAGCACACAAAATTACACGTTCTGTTTGTTTCCTGGGCAGTAATTCCTGGGTTCAGTTCACTTCCAATGATGCACATTTATAAACTGTTTCTACCTGTTTTCTTTTGTGTTTATGGTTCCTGATTTTTATCTTGTCTATTTGAAAAAAAAATAGTATTGCTCATTTCCAAACTATTTTTACTTCTTTTGAAAAGTTTTCTTTCATCATTAGATGCTCACATATCTAATAGAAGAGGGCATTGTTAGGAAAGCTGAATTCCCTTAAGTTTGGAGTGTGGGCCATAATGGCATCAATTTATATGTAGTAAATACATACAAATTCTCAACATACCTAAGTAGTAATTTAAACTTGCAGTCCTCATTTCTGAATTAGCAAAGCTAATTTGCTGCTCTGCTAATACAGGTTTTTTTTCATTCATTTTTGTTTAATATCATTAATATACAGTTTTAGCAGTTAACCCAGCTTCTATTTACAGGCATTATCCAGGCGTTTGGGTAGAATTATTCATGGACAACTAGACCAGGAAAACCATGAGGTGATTTTTACAGAAGCCTTTGTGTCACGGCATCGAGCACGCATTCGTGGTCTCTTCACTGCAATTACTCGGTAAATGGAACGCATGCAACCACATATTAAAATATTTTCAAAATAGGTCTTTATGGACCAAATTCTCTTGTGACTGAAAAAGAAAAGAAAATAAAAACCTATGGATTGATTTCTTTAAGTGTAGTTCAGTTCCTGGGGTGAATTATTTACTTATAGTAGACTCACTTTTCTTTTTTGAAATAGGGACCTCCTTTTGAAAGGAGAACAAGGGAGGTATAACAATATGCAGTATACAAGAAGTTGTTTGGCTGAAGAAAATGTTAATCAGTAGTTCTCCCATTTGTTTGGAGAGTATCTATCCTCATCCCTAGTCAATTACATATTGATGTCTGCCCACTATGTGTGATTCTAGATATTTTTTTATAATTAAGTCAATAACTTTCTGTGTCAATTTGTTTGAAGAGCAAAACTTGGAACAGCGAAAGTTTCCTTACAGTAATTATTATAACTTTGTTATAAGATACAACTTCGTAGTAATTTAAAATTAAAATGTTTTTGGTAATGTTAAACATCAACATAGCGCCCTGGGGCTAAGATACTTTGTAGTTTTGTCCATCTGGCGTAACCTCTCATTTCTAGATTTGCCGCATCAGTTTCAGGTCATTGACTTATATTGGTTTGTTTGTCTTTTTTCCAAGGCCTAGACCTGTAAGTAACTTGATCACACGGTACGGATTTCAAGAACATTTACTTTACTGTGAGTTTCATTTGGATTGGGTTGGGTTGGTTTGTTGGGGTTTTTTTAGTTAATTAATAGATTCTTCATTACTAGAAGTATGCTTTCAAATAAGCATTTTAATATATAGCTTTAATTCTGGAAGAACGAGCGATATGTTTCTCTTTACTGTAAAAAACGTTAAATCTTTTCTGCTATCCAGAACTGAAGAGATGTTCTCTGTATCTAAAGCAATGAAAGGATACATTGGTGAAGTGCCTCTGGTGCAGGATGATGCAAGAAGTACAGTACTCATTTTGTCATCTGTTTTGTTATTTGCCCTTAGCTACTGGCAGTTTTATCTGTGAAGCAACAAAAGGGAACAGATTTTATGTAGCCAAGTAACGTTAACTGCTCTGGATTCTATTTATTGACTTTTCTCTGTGATATCGGAGGCAGAGCTTTTGTTATGCTCTTAGTTAAATGTGTTTATATGCTGAGAGGTAAAGCATATCCTTAAACTGTTTGCTTTTATTTCTTGCAGTTTCTTTTTTAAATAGAAATGCAAAAATAGATTTTCTACCCCACTACTGAAACTTTTAGGCAGTACTTAATTGTTTTTTACTTCTAATGTTGTAGCTTTTCTTTCACTGTCCCCTCCCATCCGTCCAAAATGCTGCTTCAAGCATCATTAGTCTTGCATTCTGGCTGACTTAAGTGCTACTGGTCTTTAGAACTTAGTAGTTTTCTGTCTCTTCTCATGAAACTTACTATTTCTCTTCGTTTGGTTGGGTCTTTTTGCCTTCTGGGCATTGCACGCTTTAGCTGTGCTGTAATACCTCTCTGCTTACCTTCTTGTTCTTTGCAACAAACTTGTTCATTGAAAATGAAAATCTTAGCATTTAAAGAAGGTTATATAAACACTCTACTTTCACATAATCTATTTAAGGTTTCCTCTCTGTTTTTTGGAACATACCATCCAGCTATTCATAGATTAAAAGGAAAATCTGTTAAACTGTATTATAATACTGTTGCAGTACCCGATAAATTCCAGTATGTGTTTACAGTCTTTTTCAAACAGTTCCTGCAAGTACATGGTCATGTTCTGCTCATGTACAGTGTTAATGTGGATAGAAGTTCTAGTGTTTTCTCATCACTAGTAGTCATAACTGTGTCTGTTTCTTGTATCTTTTTCATGGGTGTTGGGGTGGGTTTTTTTTTTAATGAGTTTGTTCGTCTTTTTCTTTAGTTTTTCTTACTGTATTTCACTTCTGCAAGTTTCAAAGAGCTTTTTATCTTTTTACTCACTGCTAGAGGACATTTGATTTTATTCTATTTGCTGAGATACCATTTCAATTTCACAAGTGCTAGAAATTTGAAAAAATACCTTTTAATGATGTCACTTATATTTTTGTTATAATTTAACTATTAGTAAGTACAAACATCTAATTTTATTTTAAAAATCTGTCCTATAAGCTCCATTTTATACAAGGCAACTGAATCATGGCAGAACATGATTTCTGACTCTTGTTTTAGGTGATGTAAGGCTGTGTCTTGTTTAAATCAGTTTCTCTTTCTTCTACATTTTCTCAGTGTAAGTAATGTTCAGCTGAGTTAGAGGCAGTTGTGTTCAACAGCTGCTCCTCTACCTTGTAGAGACTTACTTACACCATGTTCATATCTGCCCAAAGAAGAAAAAAAAAAAAAATCATGATTTAATGTGCAGTATTTCTTTTGGAGCCAGGTTTTTGAGTAAATTTTCCTGTGTAGGTGAGCTAAACCTTCATGTGCTGTACTAAGCATATTGTAATGTTTACTCATATCATGAGGAAGAAGCCAAATCATATGATACTATTTAATGTTCTGTTCCAGCGTAAAGTCTGTCTTTCAATGAAATAGAAATCATCCCAAACTGGGGAAAAAAAAGGCATCTAGCAAATCTCTGGAAATCAACAGAGCTTGGCAGTTGATGTCACTGATTTTTTTTTTTTTTTGTCATTGTATCTAGTGATGTATGAGAAGGCACAGGCAGAGCATACAAGGTCAATCAGATATTCTTGTGCACCTTTAATGGACCAGAAATACCTTATTAAGCATTGAGAAAGGCTTAGTACTTTGGTACTACCAGTTGCCAGTATGTTCTTCATCAACAGTATTTGTGCATTATTAGGAGGTTATTATTGGCAACAGTGTGAACTTTGTAAACCATAAAGATGGTCACCAGTAGGAGGTGCTCACATTTATGCATATTTAGTAGGAGGTGCTCACATTTATTTAGATAACAATTTTTCATGTCATTTTAGTGTGTTTGGATCTCTTTTTTTCTGTCTTGGTTAACATGCAAGCAGTGAATTTGAAGAGAACATAATTGCTAAAACACTTATACATTATATATATATAAAGATATTTTTATGACTACATTTTCTAAAGTAAAAGCTCAAACTGTGCAGTTACATGTTCAATAAGAAGTGTTTTGATTCTGCCATTTTGATTCTGAGGTTCACTCTTTTGAAACATTGTATGCTTTCCAGAGCTTTTATCAGAACACTTGCATAGTGTAAAAAATAGTTGATAGACCCAATAAATGTTTTTCTAAAGCAAGCACAGACAGCTAATGGGGTGGGGGACAGCAAAGAGGAAACCAAACGGGGAAAGTAATTGCCATATTTTGTTTAGTGGAGATATCAAAGTGGAAAATGCCACTTCTTTTATTTTCTGTGTTGTAGCTGTGCTGGAAGAGCTTGTTAACACTGGTCGACTAAAAGGCACTGTGGTTGGTGGGAGACAGGATAAGGCTGTGTTTATTCCAGACATTTATGCCAGAACGCAGAGCAACTGGGTGGATTCTTTTTTCAAGCAGAATGGTTACTTAGGTAATTAATCTATATTCCCATAGATAACATGTCTTTCTAAAACTAATTTATGTAATTGGTCTTACCCTAATATAGCCAGTGTTTAGAGTGAAGCCTCACAAGAATATGTGGAAATCAGTACGGTAGTTGATACTCCTTTGTTAAAAGACTAACCATACTGCTAAACAGTAACTTTATTTCTCAAAACCAGAGTTACAAATGCTACTTTTACTGCTGTTCTGAAAACATTTCTTAGACTACTCCCTGTAGACTTTCCAGGTGATCATGTTTGATCCACAAGGTTGGAGTTTCAGTCCAGGCATCCAGATTACAACCAAACTTGGGCTAATAGTCTGGACAGCCAAGCATGCAGTGCACAGGACGAACCTGTGCAAAGTAAGATTTGTAGAACTGGACTGGGTGGCACTAGTGTCTGATTTGAATCCAAACAAATCTATCTAACTTAAAGATGAGTGATGCTGGACGGTGGTGTTTTAATACAGGAGCTATGGGAAAATATGGACCTGAACAAACAGAGAATGTATCCTTATGGTCCCAAAGGGCCAGTTCCTAAAAACAGTTAGTCTTGCAGTTTGAAAAGCTTCATCATAATTTACTGTAGTAGTGTTAAGTGTTTCTGTAATACTGCTTGACTGATAGATTATCTGTCAAAGTCTTTGAATGTTTTCAGAATGTCTAAGTATAAACTGCCAAATAGTTGAAACACTTTGGTTGTGAGGCATTGCACAATTCTATGAGCATATTGGGGTGGCTTTTGAAAACAAAACATTTTGTTATTGTATATATTATGAATATTGTGCATGTTATATTGGAATACTTAGAAAAGATACAATTGCAAAGTTAAAGGTATAGGAATCTGAAAAAAAAAAAAACACAAAAAATCAAAACTCCAAACAATTCTTTTTTTCCAAAACTCAGCCCAAACTAATGTCCATTATTTAATCTTCATATTTCTCTTAACTATATTGTAGTGCAGCTTGTACAAACTAAGTTTTAGGTCAGCATCTGCTTGAGGCTGCATTTACTTTTATACAAACTAAACGAAATTCTTCATTTCCTGCTTTCAAAAAAAATTACCACATAAGATCCTGTAAGTATATGAAGGTACTTAAATGTGACAGACATCTAACTGTTTTATAGAATTTGATGCGTTGCACAGACTTGGCATCCCTGACCCAGCAGGCTATATTAAAAAAAGGTACAAGTCTACACAGCTCTTATTTCTGAGAGCAGCTTGTGTTGGTCAAGAAATCGTGGATCAAGTTGAAGCCTCTGTAGAGGAAGCCATCAGTTCTGGGAACTGGATAGATGTAGCAGTAAGCAACCCTTTCAGTTGTTGTTGTATTTATTTGTTTTGTTTTACTTTTGTGTCCAAAAATATGTATACTACACATATATAATGAAAAATTTCATGTTTACAAAGAGGGATATTCAGTTCAAGTGAAATAACGAGTAAAAAGGCGTTATTTGCCTTTGATCTGAACAAAGCCAATGGAAGGACAGCAGTATTCAGTTGATAGAAACCTAGGACTAACTTTCATTTCAAAATTAGTGCTAATGTATTCTGCTAGAGAGCAGTATATTTTGGGGGGGAGGTGGGAAAAAGTTTAAACCGGATTTCTGTGACAGTTTTGTAAGCAGACGAATATTAGCTATTTTGTCTTGGCTAAATCCTAATTCTAGGCCATAACAGCGCTATTTTGTCACTTGCAAGGAAGCCTGCTGTTTTGTTTGGTGTTACTCTGTATCTGTTGAGGTGCATTTTGAAGAAGTTGCCGTGCGTTTGCACAGAGCAATGTTGATTTCTGGTGTTATAAGATTTAAAATAGTGTTTACTCTTAAATTGGTAGTTTAATTTTAAAAGTACAGTATATTCTAAATAGTTGTCAAATGTCCATGGATTCTGTTTATCCACACACAAGTATGTCTGTCCAGTCTAGAACAGATCATTGTATGTAAATTCTTTTTATTTTCTTCACCATAGACTCTTCTGCCCAGCTCATTGTCAGTAGAAGATGCTGGGATTTTGCTTCAGCAAGTGTTGAGATCTTTAAACAAAAATTCTTCAGGTTTAATCTTCAGTGACACTATTGTTGTCAGTGAGAAATTTGTAAGCAGCTGTGCTGATCTGTTCTCTGCTACCATGCAGCAGAAAGCTGAAAAGGTAGGGGTTTTTTTTGGTCAAGATGCAATCACTATACATTGAGTGCTGGACTATAGTTTATATGACTCTGTTTGCTGTTACCATCTCTTTGCATCTCATCTGAAATAAAGTTTGAGAAGAAGAACAAAAATGATGAAAAAGTTTGTGCGTGTAATCAGTGTAATTTAATGTATGTTCAGTTGCACTCAGGGAACACTATTCCACTGACAGGATGACCAGATGCTGGATTTTGAAGAGAAGAATAAATATCTCTTTATGTATTGCACTTGAAATACATGGTGTTAGCTTAGTATACTGAAAACATGGCCAAAAGGGTTAAATGTTTCTGCATGTATCTTTTGTTGCTGTATCTTTTTGCTGTTAAGTGCATGTTCTTCATTTCAGGAAATTAAAAATAACCCTGTTAATTTAATCACTGAAGAAGATTTAAAACAGGCTTCTGGTTTAGAGAACTCATATGCTAATAAAAAAGACAAAAAGGATGAAAGAAGAAAGAAGGCAACAGGTAAAGCATCTATATTAAGAAAAGAAAAAAAAAAAAAAGGCTTGTTTAGCCTTGGAAGTATTCAAATATAAAGTTACGGTACTTTGTAGTCTGGTAGTTTCTTCCACTCTGTTGCTGAAGATATTTTAAGAAATAATCCAACCACATCTTATCATTATTCTGTAGATGTGGATGTGTCTGAGCTATGTCCATGAGAACTAATTTCAGGTTTAGAAGTATCATAAAGGTGTCTTGAGTTAGTCCAACACAAGGCAGCTATCCTTAGAAGCAAGGAATCCATTTGTTAGTGTATATGGTATGACCACGTAAGATTGAGTTGTGCACTGGGGAGTGGCCAAACCAGTAGCTCAGGGACCTCTGTACCATTTTTGATTACACAGTATAAATACACTCTGTGCTCTTCTTCTCAAGGACCCATGAAAATGAAACTATTTCTTAATAGTCTTGAGAAATAAATTCCAAAATAACTCTGTATAAATAGAGAAATCAGGTTTGGGGGCAGGGGGGTGTTTCCTTCCTGTTACATAATGTAGTTACTTGAAATCTTGGACCTTATATTTAAGGTCTTAGTGCATGTATAGAACCAGTTATTCTGGATCTGAAATTTCTTTCAAGTGAAAAAAGAAGGGAACAAGCTGTGGAAAGGGAAACAAGCAGCAGAACTACTTACTTTGTGGAAAAGGACTGTATTTCAAATTGAGATCCAGTCTGCAGGGTGAATACATGGATTACAGGAAATACGAACTAAGTAGTTTGATATGTTTATCAGAACTGTAACATCTCATTGCGTTATAGTCATCGAGGAATAGTTGAAAAAGAATTAGTGTTCTAGTTAATTGAATGCATGTTTTCAAGAATATTTTGGATAAATGCTTACTACGTAGGATTTTTTTCTCTGTAGGTTAACAAGATTGCATTATCTGGATATTTTTCAGTAGCTCAGTTATTCAGCATCACTGAATAAAAACGCTAAATGCCTACTAAGATGCTATTTTCAGCCAACAGAAAATCTGCCGTTACATTCTGGAAAGTGGTATCTCATCTGTTTTCAGCTGGAAAAAGATATTGTGCCTTTTAAAAATAGAATATATAGGTGCATTCAATATGATTAGTACTTGTGTTTGTTGGTGATGTTAGCTTAAATAAAGCTGTGACTCAGTTGCTCTTTTTTCTCAAGACTGAATCTTAAAGTCCTAAGATTCTGGGATATGGATTTCAGGTTATATTTAGAATCAGGTTGTAGGGTTTTAATTCAGCATTAACAAGTAATGCAGGTAAATTACTTTAATATTGTAAACTTTTTAAGTGCTGCAGCTTTTCTGTGTACTAAGCAAATAATTCTCCACCAGAGGGCAGTGGATGCGTGAGAGGAGGAGGAGGTGGTAATGCTAGAGAGATCAAGATTAAGAAAACCAAGAAGAAAGGAAGAAAAGATGCTGACAGCGATGAAGAGTCGCAAGCAACTAGCACAGGTTTGTCCTTTTATTTTGGGCACTGTCTATTAATACTCACATGTTTTTAGCACTTGATTTTTCACACTTGTTGTTTTCCCCACTGTCAGGTAAAATGCCAAAGAACATGAGAATACTTTTAGTTAGAATTGTATCAATGGATATGATATTGCTGTTTAAATGAAATAGACATACCATATTCACTGAGAAGTATAACTTGGTCTTTAAAAAAGAAATTTAAGTAAAGGAAATGAGAACCTTTTTTTATTATTTAATTTTATGTAGGAAGTGCCTTAGATTTCAGGATTAATATTATATTTGGTTTCTTAATACCTGCTGAATAGTGTACAATAAATGGAGAAGTTCACATTCAGTTCCAAGGCTTAAATTAACAAATCATAAGGAAGAATTAGTACTTAGATGTTTTTCCTCATAGGGATAAAATACACAGTCAAAATAAAGGTTTAATATTTTAAATAGGGTTTGTCTTGTTTAACTGGGACATCTACATCAGAGCAAGTTGCCTTTATATCTGTTGGCTTTGTAATGGAGAAAGGTAGGTACATTGAAGGTCTAGTCTGTCTCACTCGTTTTAGGTGTGTATTACAGGATGAGATTGAATTGCTCCCTATTGAGTCCATTTCTCTGCCTTTACTGTTAGGAGAAGGAGCATGGGTAGCATCCTCAGAATTAAACACCTACATTGTTAGGCTTTCAGCAAACTGGTTGCAAGTGGCACAGTCATGATTATGTGTTACTTCTTTTATTTAATGGAGATGCAGAAATGTGTACTTCCATTTTATATATAGTATCAAGACTTTCATTACTGACTGGAATACTTTAAACATTTGAAGTTGTGAAGTACAGCATCTTAATTTTGTATGATACTACTCTCAGATTACTGGAATTCTCATATAAATGAAGTTATTTTTCAAGGCTGCTCAGTCACTGAGCATACAAAATTAAGTTTTAAATCACCTCTTTCGTGTGCTTTACAGTTGTTGATGCTTGTATTGCTGTATTTTAGTAAGTAGCTTGAGCCAAAATCCCCAGATAAATTCAGGTATATATAAATAAGACCCTTCCAAAACCTGATTTAAGCTCCCTTACCACCAGTTTGTATAGCCTTGTATGTTGTTTATTGCTAATGTGGCACTACTAGGACCATAATTGATTTCCGTTCATTCAGTTTCCTTATGTGCAGAATAAGCCCGTTACATGCTGCATCTGTATCATAGAATGCCTGTCCTTTTCTGTTCCCTGTCATCATCCTGATCTCATTCTTACATATAAAACAATTCTGTAGCATGCACATAAACTTCGTATTTTGTCCAAAACCAAAATACAGAGTCACTAATTCATATGTGTTAACATACATCATGTAAGTTGATTTTATTACTGGAACTTCTTGTCTAGTTTAGTACTTTTGCTTTATCTTGTCTCAAATTTTATACTGTAATGTTAAGCTTACGATACCCTCTGTTACATGATTGTGTACCTTACTAAGTGGACTCTAAACAAAACAACCTTATGAAATCTTTCAAATTGGAACATTCTTTTCAGCTTTGGCATTTTAAAAACTACTTGGTCTTGGTGACATCGTAGTTTCTTCTAAATTAGTGGATGGGCCAGGCAGTTTGAAATGTGACTACAATTACTATTTAAGTTGTTTATTACAGAAAATAACTTCTAAGCAATCAAAAGAGATATTTTGTCAGTTTTTCCTGTGTAAGATTTAACTGTCATGTGTATTCATCTTCTGTGGAGACGTTTCAATGCGTTATGCCACAGAGGAAATGCAGCAAAACTAAGTATAATGTTTTCTCAATGAACATTGCTCATGACCACTACAGGTAGGAATAAGCAGCCGGAGTTCCCTTTCATGTCAGCAGATGAAATTCAGGATGTTTTAAAGACCCACATGCAGGATTGTCCTGAAGAACTTATTGCAGAACTTGCTGAACATCTAATAAGGTAATTTCAGTAATTCAGCTGGAGTTGGAAACTCTGCGATTCACTTCAGATTAATCTTCTCTTCAGTCTGTTTTCTTGCTGAGAAAAAATGTTATGATGATGGAAGCAAAACATGTCCCAGCTCCATGTGGCATGTGTCATGGCAGTAGGTGGTTCTGTGCCCTTTGTCAGCAAGCATATTTTCTAGTTCATGCTTGTATTTCCTCCCCCTTACACTGATCCATATTGGGGTTCCACCAGTGCCATCTTCTGTACAGCTTTTGGTCTGTATTCACCTTTCTTGTCTTTTGTAGCTCCGCTGGTACCTGAGGAACTGGGTAATAAATTAGGTCAGCAAACTGGTCTAAGCAAAGATGAATATCTTGTTTTAAAAGATGCACCATACAATAGAAAGCATGTGAATATGTGTAAGGGCAAAAAAAGACATTAGGGTACAGTGGTAACTGCATGTTTAGAAGGGCCTGTGCTATTTTAACGGAGCTTAAAAGTCTTCCCCTCTTATAGCTATCGATCTGAAATTTGTCCTCAGGCCCTTAAAAGAGTTTTTGAATAGCATTGCGTCTGGAAGTATTTTCTATCTTTCATCTTGTTTGCATTTCGGAGTTGTTATGAGTTAAAACCTTGGCAAGCATGTACATACTGTGCATACTGTAACCATTAGTACTTCTGCACTTAAAAAGTACATTTTAACTTCCTAGTGCTTATTTTCTGATTTCTGTTACTTGCTTTTTTATTAATCTCACCATTCTGTGAGTATGCTCCGTTCACTTACTGTGCAATGGTAGCTCTCTGTTGCTGATATATTTGGAAAAACCTACAGTTTTACACTTTGCTTAATGTTCACTTTTTCTCCTCTCTTCTTCCCTGTTCTAAGACCTTTAACAAAAACTTACCAGGAAGTCGTGCGTTCAGTTTTTACATCTTCAACATCATCTTCTGGAGCCAGCAGAAGACAGACTATGAAGGACTTGCAGGAGGAGTTCTCAAACTTGTACAACAACATTAGGTTATTCGAAAAGGGAGCAAAGCATTTCACAGGTACAGTACATACATACATTAAAAACTGAATATGCTCCTTCAAGGGTGTTGAATTTATTCTAGAATCTACATTCAAGGTCAAAGAAGAGCAACCATTTAAAAAGGAAAAACTTAGAGATGCGTTTACTCTGCCTAACACTGACCTTATGCTGGAGTGCAAAATGAGTAAGCTTCCTTCATTCTGTCACCTGTGCCACTAATGAAAAATTCGAATGTTTCTAAGAAGCCCCTGTTAAAAACTTTTAGGTTTGATACTGAAAGCAGCTGCTCCTTGAGGGCAGCTTTTCAAAAAGGTGTAGATTCATTTTGCAGTGGGATAGTTTGTAAGGTGTCTTCTTTAGCTATATTTTGTGACAGAAAAGTAGCATTAGGAAAATACTGTAGACATTTCCATGATTCTCTGCTGTATTCAGCTTTCATGTAGAACTTTCCCTGGGGAAAACTTATAACAAAAGGGAACGCTAATAAAAAACCCTGATATTCCTATATTTAGGAATAAATGGAATTATTTCTCGTTAGCGTCTGTTCTTGTACGTGTGTTCTGTAGCCTCTTTTTTCTAAAAGCTGTTTCAGTGCTATAGTCATATGCCTGCTCTTCTGTTCAACTGCTTGTCCTGTAGAGGTTTTTACTTGATGAATAGCAGTGATTGTTCATTAGGGGTTCAGGAGGGTTGTACAAGGACTACTTTACTGCTTCTACAAATACACCTTTTGAAATAGTACCAACACATTAAAATACTCTTAGAGACCTGAAAGCTCACATTTTTCACTGAAGAACGTTCAATAAGCAATTACAAATGAGGCATGTTAGCTTCATGTATCAAGATAACTTTCTCATACTACTCATACTTGATAAGACTCCATGTCTTAGGAGATGCTCATAAGAATCACATTTAATGCATCAAATAACTTTGAATCTCTTACTTCTTTTAACAGACGAAACTCAGACTAACCTTGCCAAACATCTGTTGAAGACAGTCTGTACAGATATTACAAATCTGATTTTCAACTTCCTAGCATCTGATTCAATGATGACAACAGAAAATTACTCTGCAATCACAAGTGAGGTACACAGATAGCGGTTCCTTTTTAACAGTCTCAAGTAGATCAGTAATGTTTATTTAATATTTTATTATCTTATGTGTAAATGCAGCTAAAGTGATAATTAATAGTACAGATTATTTTAATTCTTGTCTCATACAGGTCCGAACAAAGATTTTAGGTAAATTGCCAGAAGACACCAAAGGCCCTTTAACTAAACTGCATACTTCTCTGAATGGCAAGGTAAAGTGATCCAGAATCTGAGTTCAGATTTTCTGCTGATACAGTGCTAATAAACAGCTAACAGAGAGCGTGTAGTACATAACTGCTGCTGCTGCTGTGAATGAAGAAGTCAAAATAGTCTTTCAAATTTTTGTAAGTCAGTGGGAGTAAGTATATTTTCATACCTGTGAATTCTTAGATTTGAAAGGTTGTTCTTACCTTTACATCGTCACCTAGCTCTTCTCTTCCAGGTGAAATCCAGTGTATCTCCTAAGTGCAGGTGAGAAAAGTAAAAGCTGAGAGAATGTGTAATTCAAAGTGGTTGATGTTTCTTGTTGTTTGTTCCTGAAGCTCATGATTGTTGTCCCATGTATTTCATAACTAGCAAAACCCTCAATATTTAGGAAAAAAATCAGATCAGCAGGGGAAGTACAAAGCAGAGTAATTTATTATTTTATGCAAAAGGCCAGACTGATGTTTCTTAAGAAAAAACATATCTGTAAATAATAGTAGAACATATATTCCTTTTTTAATTACATTGTTAAGGTTAGTGGATTATAACTTGGTTTAGTATTTAAGTATATGAACTATTGGAAAAGGAATAGCATTAATTTCTACTAAATACTTTTTACTTTCTATTTTCTTTCATAGCGTATTCCAAGTGTATTCACAGTCATCTGTGTGATTAATTGTGAACAGTAGTTAACTTTTTTATAATCTGCTAACACAGTTTAAATATTTATCTCATTTTCTAATAGAGCATAGAAGATTTTCTTTCATGCCTTGATTCTGCAGTGGATATTTGTGGTATTATGGTGAAAAAAGGAGACAAAAAGAAAGAAAGGTACGTTAATTTCATTTATTCTATGCACAGTCTGAAATGTAGCTGTATTGCTGAACAAATGTTAGGTGGTTACTGTGGTAGCAGTCACACAGAATGTGTAAGAGGCAGTCTTTCTTTCCATACTGTTGAACTGAAAAATGCAAAGTCAAGCAGTCCTAATTCCATGGGAGAGGAGGTGAGGAGAGTTCATATTTAGCTAATTTACTTGACTTACTACAACATAGTTTATAAATTCCCTAGGGAGCTTTCAAAATTTGAGCTACACTAGTGCTAGTTTGTTGTTTGTTTTTTTTTTCTTTTAAATGTGTAATTTTACATAGAACTGATCAGAAGAGAAAATTAAAATTTAGATGTTTTAGAGTATATTATCAACTGCTGTAGGACAGAAATATTTTTATATAATGTATTCCTGTTCCTCAGGCAAGTCCTGTTTCAGCATAGACAAGCTCTGATTGAGCAGCTTAAAGTCACAGAAGATCCAGCTCTTGTTCTGCACCTGACATCAGTACTGTTATTTCAGTTTTCAACCCACTGTATGCTTCATGCACCAGGAAGATCAGTACCACAGATCATTAATTTCCTAAGTGGCAAGATCCCAGAGGTATTCCTTTCTAGTTTCTTAAGGGGAAAGTACCTTGTTTCTATGACAGAACATTGAAGTTGTGCCTTATACTGTTTCTGCTGCACATGACTGACATCTTTGTGTTTCACGTCTAATCATTGTTTTATTTGCAGAATATGCAGTTTTGCTAATCTGGATTGTATTTCAAACCTATCATTTCAAGGATCTGTCTTCAATATTTTTCAATAAAACTAAAAATCAACCTGTTACAAGTACTGCAGCTTTTGCCTTTAACCACAGAGACAGCTGTCTACTGGAGGATAATTTCTTGCAGCTGAAAATTCTTACGCTCTGTTTCCTTCCAGCTAGAGCATGATTGCTTTTTAAACTTCTCTAGTTCAGTGTTATAGAAAGATATACCATTTCAAAAGTAAAGATATTGAAATTCTGTATTCCAAAGTGCCCAAACTGGTGACATTTAGTAACTGCACTGCTTCGCTGCTTTGGTGTTTAATTGTCCTGTTCTCACAGCATTGATGCAGTTCAGTTTTTTTGTCCCTTTGAATGTCTCTCAGAATTTAGGTTGCAAAATAACTTGATGGAAATATATTTATGTATATATTTACCCTCTTTAGGCAAAAAGGGGAGAATGCTTTTTGAAAAAAAATCACTTTCAGTTAAAGCTCAGGGGTACCTTCTCTGTAACATTGACATTCCTTTGGTTTGTTCTCTCTTTTCCCCTTAGGATCAGCATTCTCTGTTAGTAAAGTACCAAGGGCTAGTAGTGAAACAGTTGATCAGCCAGACTAAGAAAACTGAGCATGGAGACAGTGGCACAACAGATAACCTGGAAGAGGAAGAAGCAGATGCCATTCGAAAAGAGCTCCAGGAAATCACTACCTCTATCAAAGACCTTGCTCTCAGATCTAGGAAATCTTCTGTAACAGAGGAATAAAATTACTGTTTGGTGAATCCAAATCCATAATTCAGTCAGATTTTTTTTTTTCTTATCCTGAAGGAAAGGATAGCAGATAATGCTTGGCAAACTTTAAAATTTAGCGTCTAACAATGGCAAATTACAGCCGGGTGATGATGGTGAATTAAGTATTGTTATGTACTACTACAGTGTGCATGTAGCACATGTAACACGTTGTAGTACAGCTGTGTACATTGTTCATTCAGCAGACTTCTTGAGTTCTTAGTCCAGTTCGCATAGCAGTTAGAAGTATTGTATTCTGTCAGCTCCTTGAGAAAACTTGCGGTATTCTGTTTATGCTGAGTTTCATTAAAAGATTTCGATTTATGATCTTCCTACATAAGCTTTATAGACCAAAATACTGGCTGAAGTGTTTCCCTTGAGTTTTTTACCAGCCTTATTTTCACATGTGCGGTGCTTTTTGTCTTCAGGAAGGTGGTAAAATGTGTAAAATAGAATTCTGCCACTATTAATTACACAAGTCTTGTATGTCAAATGTACTGCTGACTTACTTTTAAGAAAAGGTGATTTTCAGACAGGAGAGATTGTAGTTGCATTACTTCAGTAATGCCCGTTGATTTCATGTGTGTAATTTCAGGGGTTTACATAAAGTCAAGTTTGAGTAGTAAGACAGAAATAGAGTTCTTTTCACTAAAAATGTCATTCACCCATCCTTGCCAAAATTCTCTGATGCTGAAAGAAAGCAAATTCTGTGCAAGCCCTACTCTGTTCAAATACTTGTTTTCCAACAGTTCATGTATTCTATAAGCTAAATCATAAATACATCAAAACTGGAAATCGCAATAAATGAAAGTTGAAGAGGCCGAGTATGGGAGCTCAGTAACTGATAAAACAAGGTTAAGATAATTTTGGTAAGGTAAAAAAAAAAGAATTTTATATATATATAAAAGGCAGTAACATTTATCAGTGTTCACAGCAGTGCTGATCTTCCACCAGATGTAAGGCAAAACAGTTTGCCGGTTGTAAGGCAGAAGTAAAGGTAGTTGGGTTTTTTTGCTTGGCTGGAGGCTTTCGTAGCTGACAGTAGAAGACAATTAAAAGTAAGAGATGAAAAATATTCAGGCTGTTTAACTTTGTTTAAGAAATAAAGTTTCCATACTGGGAATAGGTTCAATTTCTTGTTATTTACCTAAAATAATTATTAAGTTCCAATATTGAATATAAACAATTTTATATGACATTGAGCTGTTTTGTAAATAATATACCACATGACATTCTATATACAAATATGAAAGTATTTTAATAACATTAAATGATTTAAGTATTTGAAATGTATCCTGTTGATTTAATCAATAGTTGATCATCTTGAAACTTGGATCTTTCAAAGAGCAATGAGCAAATGCACCATTTGATTTAACATGCCATTCTAAGCATCCCTGTATTTTTGTTCGATACTGGTTTATGCTGCAATAATAATGGACGTTTTATAAAATTTACTACATCATGTGTTAGAATTCTTGTATTGTAGCTAGTGATAAAAGGATGATAAATATTTTAAGTAGATACATGGGAAGCACTAAAATTCAGAGATATCTTCTGGCTACTAACAATTCAAGGAGACATAGGTTGGAAAACCTTTGCAGATATTTTTGTTGCCTCTTAGCTGTGGAAAATCAGTCTTCAGTTTATGATACAGAAGTATTTTGAAAGAGAAAGAAAAGGAATATTCTCAATTTCCTGAATATTTTGCTAATTCTTGGGGGTTTTCCTTTGACTGGGAGGAATTGTCTTAGAAATTAGGTGTTCAGTTCACAAAACAAAACTGCCCTTTGATGGCACTACGGAGTATGCAAATTAACACGCTTACTTTGATTTCAAGTATTTGGTCTCAAGACTCATGCTCTTCACCTGTGGTATTTAAACATCTCAAAAAGCTGATGCGTATATATGCATGTATGTAATATATACACAACTGTTTATAAACATTGATCTAGCTTCGTTTGGTGCTGCTGTCAGGAAATTGGAATGAGTGCATTAGCCATAGGTAGAATCTCTCACCAGTGGCCTTTCCTTGCCCTTTTTTAAGTGGCAAAATGTGACTTTCGTAGCTGGTCATTTGGTTATTTGCAGGTCTGCTGGAAATAAGCTATTGCTTTGTTAGGACTTGCAGCCTTCTTTCCAATTCTCTTGTTTCACAGTTTCTTAAAAAAAAAACAAGAAATTGGCAGAAGTTTCTAATTAATAGCACTGGGGTTTGTTGTTTCCATGAATCCATCCCGCAGCTCGGTCAGATAAAACTGCAGTACTTGTGTTCTCTGTGTGGGCTCATGAGTAGGCTACTCATGCAGGGGTTGCTCCCTGAATTCTTTTTTCCAATGAGTAACAGTTACATTTTCGTCAGGCTGGGAAAACAGAAATCTGGGTCGATTTGGGTGGGGTTTCTAATTGGAAGTTTAGTACTCTTGCAGAAGACGCAGGAGTGACTATACTGGGTCAGATTGAAGGTCTGTGTAGCCCAGTATTGTGTCTTCAGCAGGAGCCAAAAGTGGATGCCTAGGGAGGAATATGAGAAGAAGGCATGTAGTGATTTTCCCTTGAGTGCTTTTTGAGCCTCCAAATACGTGCTACTTAAACTTTTTTAACGATGATTGTATTTTAAACATAGAAAATGGTAATTATCTGCAGCTTTTGGATAAACAGGATACTGAGAGCAGAATTCCTTTCTCTGCTAGCCCAAATAACAGAACATATTCAGTAAATGCCAAAGATGTTTTCTCAGGAAAACAACAAGTTATTTATTTCTTTTCTTGGGAATTGTTAAGGAATGACTTTTAAGCTGAATTGGGAAGAGCAACTTGAGTAGTTTAAAGAGAGCCACCATCTGATTGATGGATTTCCCAAATCCTCAATATGAAGAAGATAGGTCAAGACACATTGTATCTGGTGGGGACAGATGAAATAAGCTGCTTTTTGTTTCAGGAAGAGATGTGAGAGCTGTAGGAGGCATTATCTAACTGGTACTCTGAAGAAGCAGCAGAATTTTTGTTGACCTACGCAGTTGTACTCAATTTGCACCTGTTGGCAAAGCCTCCAATTAAATGCTTCTCTGGAGACGTCTTCTATTAACAGTTGTGATCTCTACAGTTTGACAAATTTGAGGATAGTCTTTGAAGATTTAAGGAAAGTGATATGCTGGAGGAGGTGTCCATACTTCCTTTCTGGTAAGAATGTATTGCATTAAAACTGTTTTGAAGTTTCATTAGCTTTTTTGACTGATCTGTTCGGGTAATGCTTTTTTGTTTCTCTGATTTGTGAACTTCAAAGGGTACATGGTCAAGAAATGTACCTTCAGTTTTCTCTTTCTGGAAGTAAAGGCAAGAGGAAGCTATTCATGATTCTCATTCTGGACTCAAATTCACATCTAACTTGTCCTCAATCTGCAAAAATCCCAAGTTTGTAATGTGCTTGGTACAAATAAAACTAATAGCTCACATAGAAATAAGAAAAACTAGTTCAATCTAGTTTAAGTATATGACAAAATAATTGTCTTCAGAGTTTAATAAGCCAGACAACTACAAATAGAAATGGTCAACTCCTGGCAATAATAATTAGAGGAGCAGTCTTCATTGCAAGATACTACCTAGACACAGATAACCTCCAGAACATGTCCATATTTAGCAATTTTACCAAAGTCTTCAGAAAATGCAATACATCTTTAAAAAATTTAAACATTTCCTTCTTTCTTCTATCTGTGATACGAAACAGCTTCCACCCACTTGACATTATAGATTAAATGATTCACATCTGTTGGCTCTTGGATGTGGAAAAATCTCCCTGGAGGTCAGTCGTTGTTCATACCACAAGCAGCCACCCTTTTCACTCTGCTTAACTTCAGCCTGCATTTTTAAGTGGACACAATATCCTTACTTTCAGCTGTGATTGAAAGTCTGAGTCTTACGCAAAGTATAAGGACTTCTGTGTACTGCACTCAGTAGACTGTCTGTGAAAGTCAGCTGGTTCCTGTTCAGTCCAAGCAAAAGGTAAAAGAGAGGACTGCAATTCATAAGGCCAGAACTGAAAAACACTGAGAGGCAACCTAGAGGAGGCCATCACTGCCTCTCTGATGGTAACACCATATGAACAACTTCTTACCTGCTGGAAGAGTGGCAAATTATTACAGCCTGAAAACTGTTTTAGCAGTGTCAGAGTTCTGCTGGGTCCCCAAAATTGCCTGAAATTTCTCCCTGGCACCCATTTCCTGTATATAACAATCAGACTTCAGTAATCATGAGTTTTCTATGTGTTTTCTGATGTAAAAGCCTACATAACGTCTTTTGGATTCATCATGCATGGACCAAAGGTATCTTGGGATAAATGACAATCCATCTTCTTTTTTCTTTTCTCCAGGTACTAAACAGTTTGTGGCTTGGGGGTTTTGAGTCCTTAGGGTTTTTTAACAGAAATGCCTTTTTTCCTTTTGACAACTGTCTGAAATATGTTCCTTTAAGAACCTCCTACTTGGTATTTGCAATTGTAAACACAATATGTCAAAGAATGATTTGATTCAGTGGTGAGGCAGCCAGCTATTTGCATGTCATGAGGTCTAAGGGAAACAAACTGACCCTCAGCCTTCCTCCATCCAGCCAAATTCTGATGGGACCCTCAAATAGCTCTGGCAAACTCTTCTGTTTCTTTTGGACTTGACGAACGCTTGTTTCTGTGAAGACGTGTAATTATTTCTTCCTTTATTTTGCTGCACAAGTTACCAAGAGAAGCAGCTTAAAACCCAATGTGAGTATTGAGCCTCTTTTTCATTATTCCTTTGTCTGATAATGCTTAAATGTGATAGTATACGAGGTACCTATTTTAACATTTTAAGCAAGTAAGCAGGAACTTTTTCCTTCACACACAAAACTGCTAATGAAATTAGATGCAGAATTCTACATGTGTTGGGGTTTTTTTAAATTTTGTGTAACAGAACAGATACCACACTTTTTTTGGATGCAGTTGTTTTAATTTTATTACTTGGCTCATTAATTTGTAGGAAGATTGTTTGGGGTTTCCTCTGTAATGAGATGAGGATTAATTTTCTTTACTCCAAAGAATAAGCCAACAAAACACATGTATGCTGTTTCCTGTGGCATTTGAATCACCATTTTTATCTCTTAGAAAGCTGTCATAGCTATTTGCTGTTGTAGGAAAACTTTCTAGATTGTGTCTTTTCCAATAAGGTAAGTCACTTTTTTCTAGCATAACTAATTTTAATGCTTGAAGTGGATTGTTCTTGCCTTTTTTAAGTAAAACCAATTTTCGATCTGGTGTTTATAGCCATATTTCAACTTGTTATAAAGATCAAGTATCTTCTCCAAATTTTCCTTCCGTAAGACACTTGGTTTTATCTTTCAGCTCTCAAATTTTAGGATCACAATTTTGGTTTGGAATTTGAAGGGAAAGAGTAGTATTGAAAAAGTATACCACTGTTTACTGAAATTGTGCTCGAAAAGTGTGTCTGTATTGCAGAGCTCGAAAAGTATGGGTAATGGCCGCAATAGTCCTTTAATTAAAGGCTATGTAATTAATAGTACTGCTACCTGATTTCATAATGGCAGTCTTTTTGATACTGAGGTTGCAATTAAACTTGGAATGTACTTCCCATTTCAATACTAGAAATGTTAACTATATTTCTTTACGTGCCCTTGTTTTCAAAAGATTTGTTTCTATTTCTAGAGCTGGGCACAGAATTTCTCACATTTAGAAGACAAGTTTCAGATCCATTTTTTTTGTTTGCAGTTAACGTTTTTGTCTGTATTTTTCATCTGTCTGTGTGATGCATTGACAATTCTAGAGTATTTTAACAGAACAGGCTGTAAAGGATTTAATATATTAACATTGTAACAGATTGCTGGTTGTCTTCCTATGTCATTTTATTGCAGCGTCAGAAAAGTCACTTTGAATCAAAGTTGTGTAATTAGTAGAAGGTTAAGAAGACATACAAACCTTCTTGTACGATTAGAGCAAAATGAAATCAAAAGCTGCCTGCAAGAGATTCTGATCGGTAGTGACCTATGGTACCTCTGGGTTATTTGCAGGCAGTCATATTTTATGAAGTGTATTTTTGTTTGACTTGGTAGGACATATGTTCTGTGGGCTCTATACCAAGGAACCCAGCTTGCTTCATTTTCTTCCATATCATTTCTAAAAAAAAAAAAACCAAAAAAAAACGGAAAGAAAGAAAAGAAGAAGAAAAAAGTAGTTAGAAACTTTTAGTGTTGCCTAACCACAGACAGACAGAAACAAATGTGAAAATCTAAACAGTGTGCTCCCAAATGTTGAGCCCAAATTCAGAGCATGAGACTCTGACGCTGTTCAAATGAGCAGCACTCGTGTTGACTAAACAAGTTCTAGATGCTGTTCAGGCTTTTAGATCACCTGAGGAATAAAACTGACCTGAGTTTTCCTGCACACTTCCCTGCTATTTAAGGGTGAGTTTTCCTGCACACTTCCCTGCTATTTAAGGGTAAGATGATGTCTTATGTCTAATTCTAGGATGTTCCTAAAATTAATGATTTCCAGTTCAACTGTTGTGTTAAAATCGCTAGATGCCCAGGTTTGGAAGCTGTCATGATAAAATGCTGCTGATGCTCCACTGGGGCTCCTGAAGTGGAATTCTCTTCCAGGAACAGAATGTGCAGATCTATTGAGGAAGGAGGCTGTGAACGCCTTGTTTCATATATTTGTATTTTCCTGTAAAATGTAAGAGGGATGAAATAAGGACGGTTTTGTAGAATTATACAAACATTACTCCAGAATCACTGAACTAGTGTATTAAAAAGAAGTTAATAAAACCCCATGACATAAAATTCTGTAGCAGATATATAGCGAGGGACAAGACTGTTAGAAAGGCTAACTAATCTCCCTTGGTTGCCTTTATAATGATGGCTAAATTAAGTTTCTGCTAGAAATCACCCTGGAGAGGAATATATCTCTCTGCTTTAAGTATAAAAAGTGTCTTGTTCATTATCCCCATTCTTCCCTGATACTGTACAGTATGCATCATCTATACGTATTCTCGTTTGCCTTTCTTAAACTAAGAATTCTCTTTGATTCTACTTCATTCATGCTAGTATGTACTTTTTTCTTAGCCATTGTTGCCTTTGAATTTGATTTATTTTTAGATCCATACACAAGGACTGGTGAATTCTTTCACACCTCAGTGTATTATGGATAATGGATCTGAACAGGCTGCCCTAGTTGATTGTTGGCTTCGTATTTAGAGGCTTTATAACTCAGAAAAATATTAATCTTCCTGTAATATGTCTTTGAGCATAGATAGCAGAACTGATAGAAAATATGACCAAGTGACAGAGTGTGGTGTAGTTATTGATAGAGCACACACACAGGAGACCAGAATTCAGTCCAGTGACCTGTTGTTCTGTGCCTCAGTTGCCCGTCTTAAAACTGGTTTTGTTACACTGGGGAGGAAAAAAAAAAAAAAATCAATTCAAAGCAATATTATCTGAGATTGTCTGGAAACAACTCAAATTCATTGGAAAATCCTTCATAATGAGGAACTCTCAACTCCTGTGGCCCTAGGAGGTTTGTCATCAAACTGGAAAAATTCCACTCAGAACATTTTGCCTAAGAATATCAATCCTAACCTCACCATCATTAAGGACAATTGCAAAGTTCACAACTGGAACATTTTATTGCTTCAGCTAATTTTGGAAGTGTTTTCTACCTCTGGCACTGCAAGTTGACCACCCAGCACCTTCATACAGTGCTTTTTAACTATCCCGGGCCAGTACTGGACACAGCCTCAGAAGCAGACTCATCTAATGGCAAAGGTGTAGTGAATGGCTTCTTCCCACTCCTCTGGGTCTGCTCTCTGACCTTGAGTAAGTCAATTACTTTGCTTTAACAAGTATTAACTTTTTCTGTAGACAAGTATCTCACTACTGTGTTTTAGGATTATTCTATTATTGCTGTTAGAAAAGCATTCTGAAACCTTTGAAAGGAAAGCTGTAAAATACTTCAGAGTATTAGGTTATAAGTCTATTTATTAGAGGCTCAGAACAGTACTAGGCTGTAAATCTATTTATCAGGAGCCCAGTTTTCCTCAAGTGAGCTCTTCAAGTTTCAAATCAGCAACATCATGATTCATTTGTGTATTATAACATGAAAAATTGTGTTGTAATTAGAGTTCTGTTGTGAGTCTGAGATTCTATTTGCATGAAGAAAAAGAAATGGAAAAGATTAGAGGAAAAACTGTTTCATGCTGGTCTTCTGATTGTCGATCTTTGTTTAGTTTGGTGCTTGAAAACTAAAGAGTGTTGAGAAACATTTCAAATTAAAAGCTCAAAACATTCTGGTTTGGTTTGGTTTTGCTGGGTTTTCTTTTTTTTAACACAGTAGCAGAATTCTTAGTTTAATCACTTGCTTAGACTTTTAACTGAAAACATGTACCAAATTTAACATAAATTAGCAAAAAGGACATGAATTGTATTTGTTCCTTAATGGAGTTTCTGCTGTTGCTTGCCACTGTCCTCCTCAGATTGACCTCATCCCCTGTAGCTGGTCAGAGTTATGGCTTCTGAGCATCATCCCTTACTGGAAATGGTCAATTCCATTCTAGGTTTGAAAAGATGGTTGCTACATGCCAAGCTTCACGTTGCCCCTTGCATAGACTTTACCAGTTTCAGTGGACTTACCATTCCATAGTATCCTTAGGTTAAACAGCATGTTCATAAAATGTTCCTAAATGTTAGAAAGGAATTTCTTAATCCCCACCCAATTTCTTCCAGAATTCTAAGACTTTACTGATAGTTTTTATTTGCCTGAGCCAAATGTTGGCTGTCTTGGGTGTTCAAATAAACTTTAGCCTTAATCCTCTTTCAATCAGAAAAGGACAATCCTAGATTGGAACCAGCTTTTATATAGCATTCATTTATATAGCATTCAGTTACTTCAGGGCAGTAACTGAAGGGTCAGTAACCTCTTATCATAATAAAGAAAGACAGAATAACATAGACTACTCCTTGTAGAGTCTAATTTTAAATCACAGCCACTTTAAAGAAGATAGAATATGTTAAAATAGAAGGAAATATGTTTAATGTCTGGCATAGAGACTTTAAGGCTTAAGGGAAATGTAAGGATACCCAGTCACGTTGTTCAGCAGACCTTATCTCCTAAGCAGACAGAACAGGTAACCTAAGAAGCACAAAGATTTCAAGTACATAGCAAAGGTCACTGGTAGGACAGGAAGAGAACCCAGGGCTGAGTCTCTCTAAGGACTGGTTGATGTTGCTGCTCACAGGACGTGAGGGTTGAAGTTGAAAGAGAGTTGATGCCATGATATACTCT